GACCCTGCGCCCCCGGCCTGGCACTTCCCCTCCCAGGCTCTGGCTGCTCTGCTCCTCCCCTGACTCTTCAGCTCTGTTTAAGAGCCAAGCTATCTGAGCGCTACCGGCTTCGGGCAGCCCCCTTGCCTCCGGACCCCGCGCCGCCGGAGCAGAGCAGCTAGTGCCCAGCTGGCGGCTCGGGGTCCGGAGGCAAGGGGGCTGCCTGAAGCCGGAGCGCTTGGGCAGCTCGGCTCTTAAACAGAGCTGAAGAGTCAGGGGAAGAGCAGAGCAGCCCGAGCCTGGGAAGGGAAGTCCCCAGCCGGTATTTTTCCCAGACATGTTCGGCTTTTTGGCAATTCCCCCCGGACAGGGGTTTGATTACCAAAAAACCGGACATGTCCGGGAAAAACCGGACGTATGGTAACCCTACATGTACCTGATGCTAATAACAATGCTATAGGGCAGGCATTACCCAAGGTAATGTTAATACCAAAGGATTATTTAGCAGTTGGTCACTAAGCACTCTCATCTGAATCTGCAAGCAGCACACACTGGTAGCTAAAAACGTGCAGGCTTTCCGCAGCTGTAACACATGCATTCTGCAAGAGGTGTATTTTCATCTCCGCTCTACAACTTTTGCAGAAAAATATAATGTTTGGTAATATAGTAGGAACCCTTCCATAATGATTAAGATGTCAGCTTGTGATAAATTGGGTAGTCAAGTAAATTATTCTTTGACATTTTATTTTGTTCCAGTTTTCATTGCAGAATAAGTCATTATAAGGGTTTTCTATGTACTTGTAGCATGACCCCCACCTCTACAGAAGCTGAACACTTCCCATATATTTATATGAAATTTTCTTAACAATAGCCAGGGATAGAATAGTATTATTCCCATTTTATACATGAGCAACTAAAGCTCAGAGAGATTAATGGACATGCCTAAAATCACACAAGAAATCTGTTGCATAACCAAGAACCAAACTCCTGAGTCTCAATCTGGTGCCTTAATCACAGAATGATCCTGCTTCAGTACAAGATCAAATTAGAAGCGGTCCAGATAGTTCCCACTGCATATTTTAAATTTATTGTAACAGTATTCACTTTTATTATTGTGAAGAAGAGCATTGGATTTCATCTTATTTTGTTACATGTATAAAAGAGAAGTCCTATGTTTACACGGACTCTGTTGTAAGACTTTGTTTGTATTACATATATTCCTTCTAATGTATGTTTCCCCATTAATAGGCCATTCCACTGTTGGAATCATTTATTGCTGAGAAACATTATGATATGAAAGTGATTATGGAAGAATGGGTACATAAGTGTAAATGCAATGTACATTCAAACACTTTCTCCATCCAGAATGAGCCCACAAAGACCTGTTGGCTTCCTTTTTAAGAAAGAACTGTCAAACATACACTTTGGGAATACCTGTAGTGAGTTTATATGGCTCTGGAATTGTTCAAGGTTATCTACATCAAGTGCTATTTTATTTTACAATAGATTATAAACTCCTCAGTGCAAGGACATGTTGTTTTTAAATTGCTTGTAAATCACCAAGCCACACAAATTTTGTATCAGTAATAGTTTACTGGGTCTTAGTTTTTTATTTTTGTGTTGGTGAGCATGTAAGTGGTAACATTATAGTAAGAAAATACAATGGCAGAAATTCATTACTGATCAAACCTTCCACTGCCCTCTAAAGAAAAGTCATGCTAAAGGATTCAGCTCTTTCCATACTTTTTGCTGTGGAGCGACTAGCTTTCGCCTCATCTTGTAATACCAGTGAAATGCCTGGGGAAGATACAAGTGCAGTGATCACTGATAATACACTTTATGGCTGGAAGGGACCTGCTAGCTTATATAGTACAACTCCTCACGCAAATTCCTCTGTTGGATGTTGCTCTTTCACAGATTTAGGTTAAATAATTTAAAACATGAAATAAGAGATTTATTTAAACAGCATAGCATTCTTGGAATGGTTTAAATCACAACATACTGTAGTTTATCCCTCTTTTCTGAATACGTAAAGGGACACAGTCGTCAATCATATTTCCCTCTGAAACTTTATCTATTCTTGTTACAACAAATCCCTAAGATTACTATAATGGAATGATAAGAGAAAAATATTTAAGTTAATTTACTTAGTGCCTAGCCAATTTTGCTGTTTTCCTTGTACGCAGATGCTGATTCTGGAATATGATTCATGCAGGTGGACTTCTGCACCCACAGAGCACCAACGATTTCAATGGTGCTCTACAAGGGTCAGCTTGCACACATCACATTGCAGTATGAAGGCCTTATTTTCTCTGTTATTTATGTGATTCTTTTGCAACTGGAGAGAAACAGTTTAAAAACAGGTGGAAAATTATTCTAAAGCAACAAAAACTGGTAGCGGGTGGATTCAGGGGCAGGTATAGAACATAAAAATACTTTTAACTCTGTCTTTAAATTTATATGTCTTTTAAACATGTTAGCACATCTACCTCTTTTTTGTCTAAGCCCCTATGCCACACCTTTTTGGACTTTGTGTTTCAGCAATCTTTTCTTATAGGCTACAAAATGATGGGTCCGATATACACCTGAATTAATTTAGCAAAAGTGCTCATCAACAATAACACATATCAGGGTCTTGCAGTACTTTCACAATGCTACACCTGACCCCTCATTCAAACCTATAGCAATACACAGCTGAAAGGGAACAGTATTATATTTATGTTTAGATTCTTTATTGCTATAGCAGCTAAGTTCTTATTGAAAATACAGTTTTTCAAAGAAAGAAGAACAGGAGTACTTGTGGCACCTTAGAGACTAACAAATTTATTAGAGCATAAGCTTTCGCGGACTACAG